GTGTTCAGCAGCTTTCTTGTCGAAAATCGAGTTGCATCAAGGACACAACATCACTTCTGACTTCTTCTTCTGGAATCTTTACAGGAAATCTGCCATATTTTTGTTTTCCCGAGGGAAAGCCGTTTTGTTTGCTCGCTCTTGCCTAATGGCCTCCTCTGAAGCTTTCGATTCAGAGATTTCGACCATGTTGACATTTATGGTGTCTTTGGTAGCAAGAGTCATCTGCTTCATCTGGGCCTCCAGGTCTTCTGTCTGGCCTTGGACTGCAGCCAAGTAGGAACTGGGTTTAGCTCCACATTTTGAGGCTCCACCTGTCTCCAGTTTTGGGCCTTCAGCAGCTTTTTGGACTGCTTCGATTGTTTTTCTAGAAAGATTCCCAGAAAAACTGCCAAAGATTGGCATGTTGATATGATCCTTGGTGACTTCGACCATAGTTATTCCTGGCCTTTTCACCTGACTTCTGGACGCCTCGATCACATTCACCTCTGAAGGTTCAGCATAATGGGCTTCAGCCTGCAAAGGGTTAGAGTCCACAGTCATGGGGGTCTTATCGGCGAATTTCAACCTCCCTTCTTCGATAGCATTTTGTACGAGATCCCTGAAAAGAAAACATTGAGATGTTTTATGGCCCAGAAAATTATGATATTTACAAAAGCCTCTTTTCCTTCTTTGATCAAGAGGAGGCACTTTTACCCCTGGGGGTATTATCATTTGGCCATCTTTTACAAGTAAGTCAAAAATTTCATCACATTTTGTAATATCAAAACTGTAAGTCTTTTTAGGGAACCTATCGTTGGCCCTTTCAGGACCAGTGGGGTTTTTTCCACTTGAGGGGACTAGTAGTTTGCAAGAGTATGGTGGCCCTTGTTTTAACTCCGCTAAATCGACCTCACTTTCTTCGACGGTTATAGGTTCTTCGAATGTTTCTGGATCTTCATCGTCCATTTCGACATATGCTATCCTTTCTCTTTTATGAGTTTTTGTCGCCCTGGCTTTTCCAGCTTTAAGGCGTTCTACCTGTCGAACCCTATCGGCCAATTGGGCCATGTCTCTCAGGTATTGAGTGTCTAATTTCTTCCTAATGGAATAATCTAGACCTCCTGCGGCTATTTCGACTAACTCATGTTCTGGCACTTGCGTAAAGCATCTTGCTTTGAGCAACCTAAACCTATTTAGATATTCTTCTATAGGTTCAGTGAATCGCCTCTTTACACTGGCCAATTCTTTCAGGCTTATCTTGGTTTGTCCCATGTAGAATTGCTCATGGAACAATCTCTCCAACTGGGTCCAATGGTGGATCGAATTGGGGGGAAGAGTTGTGAACCAAGTGAACGCGTTCTTTGTTAGGGAACTTAGGAAATACTTAATCCTCAGGTTTTCATTGTTTGAAATCTCTCCTGCTTCGATCAAGTATCTCGCCACATGTTTGACAGTGGATTATGTCGTGTCCCCTGAAAATTTAGTGAACTTAGGGACTTTGCATCTAGGAGGTAAGTCCGTTTGTAACACATATTCTGACAGTGGGGATGTAAAGTTGGGCCTACGGAAGCCCGTATTCATCCCATTTTGCATCATGATTCTTTCGATCATGGCTGTCAAGTTATTTTCCAAACCAATATTCTGGTATTGGATCTGCTGAACTACTTCGTCAGCACTTTGGTTTCTATTGACTATCCTTACTTCTGGGGCTATGACTCTAGGTTCTTCGACCCCGGGTTGTTCCATTCGCATCCTAAGGTTTTCTTCGACAGGCTGCTGGACTTGGTTAATAGTGGTTTCTTCCTCTAGAAGTATACCTTGGTTTCCCCTCATCTGTGCCCTTTGGGGCTGTCGAATAGGTTGGGGTACCCCAAAAAAGTCGGCCAGACGCGCCATTTGCGCTGTCATTTGCTGATTCGACTGGGTGGTATTTTGTATTAGAGGATTTAGCACTGTGCTTAAAGTTTGTGCCAACATTTGAACCATATCGTGGTTGCTTTCGTCCATTTGCTGCCTCAAGACTGCTGTCGAGGCATTCGTAAGGCCGTGCATTACTTGGGACGTTCCTCCTAAGAGTTGGGTCCTACCCCTGTTCGCCATACCAACTCCAGAACCTTGGAGGGGCGAAGAGGCGCTCACTAAAGGGTCTGAAAAAGTGGACGCAACATTCGTCAGGCTAGCCAATTCAGAAGTTGGCATGCCATAGAGTGGTTCTCGATTTAGACCGACTGTCAAAAAACCTGGGGGAACATAAGGCCTAGTTCCTTGGTTTCCCCTTGGTGGGGGAGTTCCCAAAGGCATTCTGGGGCCAGTAAATGGAGGTAATGGCCCCGTTTGTGTGACCGTTACTGCTGGTGTTGAACCAGCGGTTACCATTTCACTTACGGTTGGGATGACCGTTGTTCCCACGTTTGTTTGTGGGATTTCGCCATTGTTTGGCGGATTTGCCATCGCTTCACTTCTTCTCCTAGTATTGGTATCGTTGGTGTATATTCTACCACTTCTCAATAACATGCAATACTCTCGAAAAAGGAGGATATTTTGTATAAAACGGTTAAACTTAAAAATCAACACAAGGTCCCACCAGGTGTGCCAATTTGTTTACCGTGGAAATTGGTAAACAACCGCTGATCTTCCAAAAGGTTACTTATTTGGTGACTCGCAGGATCGATCAGATTGATCCTAAGACATGGTTGATTTTCTGGAGTTTGACTAATCCTAATGGTGATTAATGCCGGTAAAGTAAAGACACTTTAAGTAAATTGCATGAATAAAAGCTTGATAGAATAAATAAAAGCGTTAAATAAAAGGCTTCGACGGAGATGAGTAAATGAAAAGCAATAAAGTGCTTGAATATAAAAGACTTTGATTAATTTAAATGGTGTTTCACACATACATTCTCAACGATTCTTTCGCTCACACTGGGTACTTGAATCTAGATGAGTGACTTGTATAAAATGATGAACACCCCCAAAAACTACGTGAACAACTAGTATTTATACTAAAACAAATCCTAAGTAACCGTTGGGCAGTTACGTCGCTTCGAGATGACGCCACATGGCACGCTCACAGCATTCGACGCTCCTGATCTCGGCACGTTGCACTTGGTAACTGCTGGGAACCGTTTTCCCTCCAAGCATTCAAATCTCAAACCGTTCGACCCTGGGCATCAGGTACCTTTGTTGAGAGGTTCCTTCGACGTCGAAGACGACAAGATTCCCACTTAAAGGAAATTCTCTAAGTACCTTGTCATTCTCTGATGAGCCTTCGACAGGATCAGCTGGTCGAAGCCTTCTTATGTATGAAATTCTTCTGACTCATAATTAATGGTCTATATTGATAACAAACAAGGGTGTCGAATTTAGGAGCCAACACCCGGGCACATCCATGAATCAGGCGCCTAGCGCGCTTAAATCTATCGGGCATAGCCCCCAGGCACAAGTTTCTACTACTAAAATGTCGTCAAAACTATCTACAACACGAGAAATCAAAAAGAAAGGACACTTACTTGGAAGAAAATTTGAAGAGCGACGGTGGTGGAAGTAATCAGATGGCGAGCGGCGCGGCGGTCTCAGCGACGTTATGAAAACTTACGAAAGTGAAAACAGAGAAAGTGTGAGAAGCGTAAAGAGGTAAAACAGACTATGGGCCCTGGAGCCCTATTTATAGAGATGACGTGGAATATGAAACGTCACACCGGGCAACCACGAACCGCCCCCGTCCTCGACGCCTACTTACATAAACAATGATGGCCCTACTCCCTAGGTCGGCATTGTGGTTCTCAAGAGCAGCACCACGTGTCTAACTGATGCATCACCGCCTCCCCGCAAAAATTCCTCGAACGATCCTCGATCACTACACGGGGAAAATCACAAATCAGGCGATGCCTGTTCTCCCTGGTTGGAAGCCCCTGCATCGCGCAAGCGAACCTCGCGGAATAACGAGTTTGAGTCAAGTCACAACTCCCGTACCAGGAGCAGCGACTTGGGGGGCTCCTGTTCTGGATTGGGCCTTCCAGTGGCCCAATTACCAGCGAGGCCCAATCCAAACTTTACAACATACCATGTTGAGAATTAGAATCCCCGACACGTCTTGATCATGAGTGTCGTCGAACACAATTGTGCCCGCCGGTGACCGTGAAGAGAGTCCCCGACAAGGGACATCCCAGACGAGGAACGTCTCAATCCAGGCCTTGCTCGAACACACTCCTCGTAGGACAGACTCAACCTCTCCGAATATCTCGAAGTCCTCAGGGTCCCGAGAAGACCGCGTCTTCACCTCTCTATTTCTGCGGAGAGCATCATCCAGGTAGGGGACCACGTGCAGGTCCCCACTACTCCACGTAGAACCTGGCAGTTCCTTTGTTGGGCCTGTTTGGTTAGCTCAATAAAGAGACTTTGGCCCAGCGCTGGGGACTATAAATACCATCTATTTCAAGAGAGTCAGGTATTCATTCATTCACACCTACATACAGTTCGTCTGCTCATTCCATATCTCACTTTATCATCAGAGTGTCTTGCAGGTACCCCCACCTCCTTCAAATTCAGTTCGAGTCAGCTGTGACGGTTCAACTCTGATCAGATACGATCAATTATTATATTTTATATATTTTAAATTATAATAATTATTCAATCAATAACAATGTTTTCATAGTGTCTGTAAGATTTAGTGACTTTTATTTGGATTTGAATAGAAACTCTTGTAGTTATGTTTTTTTTTAATTGCCATTGTCTATAAATGTTTTAAAAATATTATTGTAGTAATATTTATTTTCAAAAATAATACTATTTTTTAAAATAATACATAATTTACATTAAAAAAAGTATATATATATATATATATATATATATATATATATATATATATATATATATATATATATATATATATATATATATATATATATATATATATATATATATATATATATATATATACTGATACAGATTTATTTCTTGAAAGTAACAGCATCAAACACCAAAGGTACAATACTAATATGAGCATTATGCAAGAAAATAACTTCATTGTGCAGCATTCCATGAAGAGAGTGGTGGAGTATCAGAATCCTTCCATGTGCTTATATCATCCCCATATCTATCACCCCTAACAGCATCTGCTAAGGACTCAATTTCTGCCAATTCTTCTCGAGTCAGTTTAACCGATAAAGCCCCTATGTTTTGATTCAAGTTCTCAATTTTTGTTGTTCCAGGTATCGGGCACACGTCGTTTCCTTGGTGATGAAGCCAGGCTAGTGCAAGCTGAGGTGGAGTACACCCTTTCTTTGAAGCCAGTTCATTAACTTTGTCAAATATAGTTTGGTTCTGCTGTAGGTTTTCAGGTCGAAATCTAGGCAAATCCTGTAACATAAGGGAAGTGAGTTGATTAAGAAAATGAACCAGTAATTGAAAAGTATGTTTTCAACAAACCTTCCGGTAATCATCCTGTGACAAGGTCTCAAGCAACTTTGGCCCCGACGAAAAGAATCCTCGCCCAAGAGGACTATATGCAACAATTCCAATACCAAGTTCCCTAACAAACAAAATCATAACTCATCGGGTTAGAATTGATATCTATGTAGAATTTTAGTGTCTAGTGTCAGTGTCATGTCAGGTTCGTATCATTGTAATTTAGCAATGTAATGTACTAGAAAGAGAAACACTAGATAACATAACATACACACCTGCAAGTTGGAATAACTTCTTCCTCGACATCTCTTGACCATAATGACCACTCCAACTGCACAGCTGTTATTGGATGAACAGCATGTGCTCTTCTGATTGTTGCAGCTGACGCCTCAGACAAACCAATGTATTTTATTTTTCCCTCTTCAACTAGTTTTTTGAGCTCTCCAATCTTAAAAAGAAAACCAAAAAAGTTCAGGACATCACATATTGTTATTGCAAAATCAAATCAAAAGAGTAACGAAAAGAATCGAACCGTGACTTCAATTGGAATACGAGTATCAATACGATGTTGATAGTAGAGATCAATAGAATCAATATCAAGTCTCTTCAAGCTACCCTCACAAGCTTCTCTCACATAAGCTGGATCACCACAGATCTCAAACTTCTCATCACCTCCTCTCACTCCAAATTTAGTAGCCAGTTCAACTTTCTCTCTCACTCCCTTCAAAGCCTATTCCAAAAATTTCACGCAAGCCATGTCAAAACAAGCAACAAAAACCAAATCTAAATATGATAATAGAGCATACCCAGAAAGTTAAAAAGAGGTAATGAAAAGAAAAGCTAAAATGGTAAGAGAAAGTGAGAACCTTTCCAAGAAGGATTTCATTGGTGTGAGGTCCATAGACATCAGAAGTATCAAGAAAAGTGACACCAGATTGAATGGCATGATGGATGAGAGCAATCATGTCGGATTCAGGTTTAGGAGGACCATAGAAAGCAGACATACTCATGCAACCAAGTCCTTGTAAGGACACTTCCATGCCTTGTGAACCCAACTTCATTCTTCCTACTTTTGACATTGCTATGTCTCTGATAGAAACACATGACAAACCTTCCACGATATATATACTTAAAAAAGGTCAGAAAAAGTTAAGGTTGTCGTACTAAACCCACCACCGCCGCTTGGACTACTTATTTTTAATATTATCTTTCATATTCTGTTAGAAGAGATGGTCCAACTTCTCCTCTAAGGTACACAAACCAAAATCTATAGCAAAAGCAAAACCTAAACACTACGCACCAACCGCGCCGAACAACTCTGCACAAAACAACACCTTTGACCTTCTATAATCATACTTTTTATGATGTGTATATAACCACCTTGGTTTTTTAATGTTATTTTTTACTACCATGATAATTAACTATTTATCATTGTAAAGTAAATGGTTAGAAAATTATATCTTGCATACATTTAAAGTTGTCTATTTGAATACATATATATAATGACTTTAACGCCGTCCATGTTATGATTAGGTGCACACCTTCTTTATTATGTTAAAAATAAAAAAAGTTTAGTAAAAAATAATATTAGTAATAAATTAATATTGATTTTCTTTAATTAAAAGAAAATAGTGAAAATAAATAAAGTAGTATACATTAGTAGATTATAAACGGTAAAGCAAAGAGTAGAAGATAACATGTTACACTAGAAAGAGATGAAATGTCTCAAACTATTGTTTGAGTATCAAAATAGGAAAGAGATTCTCAAACTTTAGTGCGGGAAGTGCACTCTATCTTTTTCTCTATCTCTTTTTAAAAATATAATTTCTCTTATCTTATTTCTCTTTTTTTCATCACTTTCTCTTTTCTCTCTCATAAAAATTGTCTAAAATTAGAGAAAGAGAAATATAAAAGTTAGAGAATGTGAATCTCATCTCAAAAGCATTCTAAATCAAGCAAAAAAGTTGTTGCACAATCCTTACTTCCCTCAAAGACAATATCAATGTTGGACCTTCGTTAAAGGATTCTTGTCGTCTTAAGAAATCATATCAATGTTGGACATTTACTAAAGGATTTTTGTCGCCCTTAGAGACAATATCAATGTTAGAATGTATGACAACTATTTCACCTCGCATATAGTAAAACAGAGGTATATATCATGTATGCGCCATGTTTTTTCCTTTAAAAAATATACACTGTATTCTGTCAATTTTATTTAAAATCGAGGGATTAACTAAGTTCGTGCACTCGGTTCAAGTCCATGCAACAGTCAGTTATATATTCTAGTCATTAAAAATGTCACTTTATTGAATTTTAATTACGTTCCTTTTATAAGAGAAAAATCACTTTTTAGGTTTATTGAATAATTGATGTATTTGGTCAGTTTATAGACTAGGTATATTAATTGTTTAATGAATCTAAAAAATGAATTGTCTCTTATAAATAAGAACATATGTAGTATTTTATTTTTAATCTAAAAATATGTCACTTTTCACCTCAATTCAGTTTCCCAACTGGGATGAAATTGTTTCTCTGACATATAAAGTTTTAGGTTGTAGCTTTCAGATTTACTTGTCTGAACCCTAACGAAGAGCCATGACCAAGAGAGTCATAAACAACAAGTTCCATAAACACATAACATCTTGTTTACCCTGAAATTTGGTAAACAACGCTAGTCTCTTGTTAAATGTTACTTTGTGAGATTGACTAGAGAATCTCAAAATAATGTACTTGAATGTTTTCAAATAAATTAAAAATAGTAAGAGTGTGAGTGATTTCGATGGTGGTCAAGATCGCATTCTGTAAATGAAGGAAAATGAAAGTAAAACTTTGACTGGAAAAATAAATGGTTCGGCCATAAAAAGTACAAAAATGTAAAGGAAACTTAAAATTAAAGTTTTGCATAAATGGAAATCTGGTGATCAAACATACATTACACTCTTGGGATTTATTTTGCACTTCGCTAGGCACTCTGAGTTTTGTATGGGTTTTATAATAAATTTGACACCCCTAGTTATATCATACAAACTACTATTTATACTAGAATGCAAGTAACTGCTCTAAAGGCAGACTTTTCTCCCTTACATTCCAAGTTCTCTTTTACATGCATCTCTGAAAAACTACTTCCACGTGTCCTCCTATTGTGGGTAAAGCCAAAAGATGGTTAAGCAACCACGTTTGTGTATTCTAGCTGCCTTGGTCAACACAACTGTTTTGGTCAAAATGTCTGCATTTTTCATTTGGAAAAAATCCTAAGTCCATCATTCTTTCTTCTGGCTAGCTTTCGACAACTAGTTCATTGTCTATGTGTCAAACAATCGTTCACATTAGTGTCGACCACGCTTTTACAAATCACCAAAAAATTCGTCTAAGGTCCCTTCATCTTCTTTTTATCTTAGCTGGAATTTGGGATCATATCGAAAAACCCAGCTAACAAATTTCCCCCCATAACTGTCTCTTTCGACTGGAATGAGATGGAGACATTTCCGACTTGACGTTTACAATATCTGATGTAGTTTGTTGATGTTATTGTCATCATGGCCTTTTCTTCAACCGTCGTTTCAGAAATGTGCAACCACCACTACCTTACTCTATAGCTTCAATTTCCTAAAATAATCATGGCCCACAAAATCAGACAACTCCATTCCGCTCAACAGACGTTCACCTCGTGTCTTACTAGTTGGCGCCAACTGTCAAATTTGCAAAGCTGAAGAGTTTTTCTTTTGGTTATAAATACCCTTTCTTTACTTCACTTCTCCTTTCTTCAATTTTCAAAACTTGTAAGCTCAAGTTTTCTCAAAAACTTTTTAACTTCAGATTCCTTAACTTCAACAATGACTTCATCAAAAAAACTAGAAGAAATCCAAAGTAACTTTGCCTTTAATCACCAAGCTCAGTACTCTGATGACGGTTGGCAATCAACAATATGTTCCTGAATCACTGTTATAGGAGGAGAAACTCTGAATCTTCCAATCTTAAGTACTCCTTCCTTTCTCCATTGTTGACGACATGCTCTTATGGGTCCAATCCCAAATCCTTCAATAGACACTAAGAGGATCAAAGAATTTTTTCCTGCGTATCATTGCACTAAACCCAAGGTTAGCAAAAAAACCCATAGACTTAGCTTATTTGTTTCGCACCTCTAGAGTCTTATGTTCAACTCCTTTGGCTTATGCAGACTATATCTCTTGGTTAGACAGAGTCGAGAAAAAAAAGTCAAACTCGGAAAGATAGGGGAATCTTCGCCTGATCTAGTTGTCGAGGGTTGGCCCCCCTTATTACTCGCATATGTTGGTCACTTCCCTCTATTTTTGGGAGGGTTCGACTAACACTTTCTAATTTCCCTGTGGAATGTTCACCCCGACCCTTTTCGATATAGCAGCCATTATTGGTCTTCATCCAATAGGTGAAACTTTCGACCCAACGGACAATGATGAGGACATAATTGATTTCGACAAGGATCATGTTGGCTTCACCAAATATATGGAACATTACCATGACAAAACAACTGAAAAAGTATCTGACATAAAGCATATTGCTTTCCTAGCATTATGGCTATCGAGATGTGTCTTCTGTTGTAGGTCTTTGAAGATGGATAAGAGATTCATAGCTCTAGCCAATCAAATGCATGAGGGCCGAGATATCTGCTTGAGCCAATTGATTCTAGGTTCTCTCTACGAGTCAATAAGTGTGTTGAGCATGGAAACCTTGAAACCCAACACCAACTACTTGCTTATTGGACCTTTCTGGCTGCTTAAAATTTGGAAAATTCCACATTTGAGCATGTTCTGGCCGTCGACAAACCTAACGAAAATGACGGTGCCATTAAAAATAGAAATATTGAAGGCACCCGCCTGGTCTGATGACTCTAAATTACTCGAATCTTTCCATGTAAAAGGATCTTACAAAATATTTCTTGATGTTTGTGAAACACTACAAGTTTTCACCTATTATGGCTCCCTTTACTAAACGAAGCCATGGACCTAAGTGGTTCACTAGAGAATTCCCTCCTTCGAGCCCCAACCAGGCAGTCAAATCTAGGGAAATTAGGGAAGGTTTTTTCACCCCCCAAACTCATCACAACTATACTAGGTCCCAGAGAAGGTGTGAAGATACTCTGCTATCAACCCAATTTGGTGTCTCGCCAATTTAGACTTTGTCATATTCTTCCTAAGTGTTTTTATGATCGAAAGAGAGACCTTTACTTTTGGTCGGCTACTTTCGACGAAGGTAAATGTGTTGATCGCCTCGAGCGTCATATTATCGATTAACTCGTCCTCACTCCCTTCTATTTTCAACCCCTTTTTTTTATTTTACGAGAGAGTTCCATACCTGGTGGAATGAATATCATGATAAATAATTTGACTTAGTTTCAACAATATTTCAATGTCTAACAGATTCTTTCTCCATTATGCAACAAAAATTCAAAAGAGGTAGAAGCTAAAACATAAAAGAGATCTAAGCTTTCCAACAATACTTTGAAGTTGTGTATAATCCAACTTGTCTTGGTGGGATCATCTATGAAGCCGCTCTTACTTTAGAAGAGAAATGTATGAAAAAACTCCCTGATCTAAAAATTCCTTCCTATGTTGCAGGGAAAGATAGGTATGCGTTTACTTTCAAATACTACCCCCTAAATTCTCCCTTTTGCCAAGCTCTGAATTGGCTTTGGAATTTCGACCGCTATTCCCTCAGTGCTTCGTTTGTTGGTCGGATTTGAGGGTGATTAAAAACCAAAATCGGCTCAAAAAGTGGTTCTGACTAAGAATCATATAGACAACTTCAAAGGACATCTTCATGTTGATATAAAACATGTCAAGGTTTTATCTCTGATATATGAAGTTGAAGAAAGTGACTGGATCATTGAACTTACTCATTGTTAGCACCTAAATTCGAAACCTACAACAAGTTGGCCTTATGGGCCAAAAAATAGGTTGAACAAGTCTAAGTTGGAAAGGCTTCGACAAAGTAGAAAAGTACTTAGAGAAATTCTAAGTTAAATTGAGTATTCGACCAGAAGGTTCTCAATCCCTTCGACTGAAGAGACTCCAAGGACTTCGACCAGAAGGGAACTTCGTAT